AAACAGACTGAGGTTGACCTGAAAAAAAGCAATCCTATTTATAATAGCTTACACAAAATATAAGCTACCTAAGAATAAACCTAACAATGGAAGTGAAAGATTTGTACAAGGAAAGCTATGAAAAACTAAAAAAGAAACTGAAAATGATATCAAGAAGTGGAAGGGCATCCCATCCTCCTGATTTGAAAGAACATAATCAAATGTCAATTCTACCCAAATAAATGTAAAAATTTAATGCAATCCCAATCAAATTACCATAGATTTTCTTTACAGATTTAGAAAAACAATCATAAAATTTATCTGTAATCATAAAAGGGCCCATATTGCCAAAGCAATACTGTGGAAAAAGAATAGAGTAGAAGTCAAAATATATTGCAGTTCTGTGATAATCAAAACAACATCGGGACCAGCAGATGACATAATGGTTATATTGTTGAACTTTCACATAGTTGACCGCACTTCAAGTCCCAGAACCAGTGAATTAAAATTCATGTCCGGTGCATGGGCGTATGTGTCCAAAATCCGAGGAGGAGACTGTAAGAAAAGGGATTGGAGCATGGCCATTTCCCCAGGGGGGATTTCTTGCTTCCTGTCTCTCTGATGAGTGCACATGCCCTATAGCAAAGAAACTCTCTCTAAAAAATTAAAAAGAAAAAAAAAACAATCCCAATACAGTACTGGTACAAAAACAGGCATGTAGACCAATATGGAACAGAGTAGAGAACCCAGAAATAGATCCCAAAACACACAGTCAACTGATTTTTGACAAAGGGCACAAGTTAACCCAGCAGGGAAAAGAAAATCTCTTCAGCAAATGTTGCTATGAAAACTAGATATCCACCTGTAGAAAAATAAAATTGGATCCCTATCTCTCACTATTATCAACAATCAACTTATATGGATCAAAAATCTAGACATAAAACCTCAAACTATAAAGCTACTATTGGAAAACACAGGGCAAATGCTTGGAAACATTAGAGTAGGCAAGGACTTCTTAATTAAGATCCCCAAATTACAGACAATAATTCTGAAAATAAATAAGTGGAATTACATCAAGTAAAAAGCTTCTGTAAGCAAAAGGAACAATAGAGTGAAAAGACAATCCTCAGAATGGGAGAATATATTTGTCAACTATGCCTCAGATAAGGGACAGATAACCAGAATATACAGGGAACTCAAGCAACTTACCTGCAAAAAAATAATCAATCCATTGAGATGGGCCAATGAACCAAACAGATAACTCTCAGGGAAAAAAATAAAAGACATAAGAACAGCCAAAACCTGTGTGTGTGTGTGTGTGTGTGTGAGATAACTCTCAGGGAAAAAAAATAAAAGACATAAGAACAGCCAAAAACTGTGTGTGTGTGTATAAAATCTCAACATCCCTTATCATAAAGGAAATGCTAATCAAAACCTATATCACTTAACCCCAGTCAGAATGGTTAAGATTAAAAAATAAAGAATAAGTGCTGGTGAGGTTGTGGTGAAAAGAGAACCCTCCTACACTGTTGGTGGGGATGCAAATTAGTACAACCACTCAGAAGAACAATATGGAAATTCCCCCAAAATCTAAAAATGGAACTATCATACAATCCAGCAATTACACTCTTGGATATCTACCCAAAGGATAGAAATATACTCAGTCAGAAAAACATTTGCACATCCATGTTTATTGCAGCATTATTCACAACTGTTAAGACATGGAATCAATTTATGAATCAACATGTCCATGAACAGATGAATAGATTGAAAAAGTACGATGCATATATACTATGGAATACTACTCAGCCTTAAAAAATTATGAGTTTCTGGCATTTGATAGAAAGTGAATGAATATGGAAGACGTAATGCTATGTGAAGCAAATCTGACTATTAAAGAAAGGCACTGTATGTCCCCACTTAATTATATACCAAATTTGTGCACTCCCATTGCAGAAAGGAAAAGACTGGACGGTATAAAAGCATGGAGAGAAACTGTAAATATAAGAGATAGTGTGGGAAGAGGTTGGGGAATGCAGGGCAGGAGGGAGAGGATTAAGGGGCAAAAAGCAAAACATTTAACAGACACAAATATGGAAAATTAATTGTTTATAATAATGTGTGTGGTGATATCTTTGACTGGACTAATATTCAGTGCATTCATACTGGGAAAAATATGTAGATTAACCTTTTAAAAATTAATTAATTACTTATTTTTTAAAAGAAGGAACCAGCAGTTAGCATAATGGCTATGTCGCTGAACTCCCATGGAGTTGACGGCGGGTCGAGTCCCGGACCTGGTGGCCTTCCGCTCCAGGTGCATGTGCGTGCATGCCCAAGATCCCAAGAGGACAATGGAGGAGAGGGGATTGAGGCATGGCCATCCCCCCTGGGGGGTGATTTCTCGCTTTCTGTCTCTCTCTATCTTTCTGGTGAGTGCGTGTGCCCTATAGCAAATCTCTCAAAAAAAAAAAAAAAAAAAAAAAGAAACCATAAGAGATAATATTGTAGTATACAAAGAGTATGTTTTTAAACTAGTTGGAGAAACATAGAGAGAGAAAGTAATAGACAGCACCCCCCAATAGGGTCCCCAAATTCCAATTCATCCCCACTTTTTAGCCAGCCATACATCATGGGCTGCTCAGCATGCTCATAGAGGTCTCTGAACTTGAACAGGAACCTTCCCATATGGGACTGCCTTACAGAGTGTTGTGTTTTATCTCTGCACCACTATTTGGCAAAGCTTTTTAAAACAGAACATAAACACTAGTGTAAAAAATGGATACTATCGGGGCCAGCAGGTGGCAGGGTGATTAAGGCACCAGACTCCCACATGGCTTACCATTGTTTAAGCTTGGACCTTGGTAGCTTGCTTTCTCTCTCTAGTGGGCACATATGCTTTGTAGCAAATTTAAAAAAAATAAAATTAAATAAATTAAAAATATTTAAAATGGGTTATTTTGTTTTATTAAAATTTTAAAAAATGTCTTCTCCTTAAAGATGCTGTAAAGAAAATCAAATGTCAAGCTACTGTCTAGGAGAAAATACTTATAAAATATATGTATGATTATATAAAGGACTTCTACAATGCAACAATAAAAAAATGCATCAAATTAAGTAATGGACAAAGGTTTAAATATACATTTTATAAAAGAAGTTCAAAGAATGGCCAAAACACATGAAAAAGTGCTTAGCATTATTAGCCACGGAGGACTGTGAATAAAATCACAATGTGATGCCTTTATAAAATAAACAAACAAAAAAAACCAGAATAGAATATAGAGTATTAGCTGTTGGCCACAATATGAAGTAACAAACTCTCATACACTGCTAGTGGGAATATAAAATAATACAATCACTTCGGAGAACTCTGGCAGTTTTTAATAAAGCTAAACAGGGGATAGCAGGTGGTGTGGTGTTTAAGGCAATGGTCTCTCACATGGCTGAACACATTATAGTCCCAGACCTCACAGATTTAAAATCACTCTAGGTGCATGTGTATGCATGCCTAAAATCCTAGTAGCAAGATGGAGGAGAAAGGATTGCAGCATGGCCATGCATCCTGGGGAAAGATTTCTCATTTTTCCTCTCACTGTCTCTCTCTGTCTCTCTCCCCTCCAGTAAGCACAGATGCCCTGTGTCCAAAACCTTATTTTTTTTTAAAAAAAGCTAAACATACACTTACCATAATATGATAATTTACTCCTAGATGTTTACCCAAGAATAATTAAATTGTATATTCAGAAAAGGACACATGTGAAAATTGATACTGATTTTACTCACACTGACCAGTAATTGGGAACCATGCAGATGTTCACGAATGTGCAAGAAAAAAATTGTAATGTGAAATGTGTAAAATTCCAATAGTAGTCAGGACTACTACTCAAGAATACTACTTAGGAACAAACTATTGATCTGTACATATAAAATATATAAAATCCAAGAAATCAAAGAATTCTCGTACGATTACCAAAGCAATTGTTACTTGGGGGTAATTGAGGAGGAGGAAGATGGATAACAATGCGCATTGATGTTGTAAGCACACATCATGTATATACTGTCAAACTCTAGATGAAATATACTCTAAAATGTTGTATTTTATTATATGTAACTTATACCTCAATAATGTTTATATAAAAGGTCTAAAGTGAAAAAATACATGTACATATATGTACAATATAATGACTAAAGAAGGTTATTATTTTACATGGCAGGTATTCACATTAAATTTATTAATTTTCGGGACCAGCAGTTAATGTAATGGCTATGTCGCTGGACCCCCACGTAGTCAACCGCGGTACAAGTCCTGGACCCGGTGGCTTAAAACTCATGCCAGGAGCGTGTGCGTGCATTTCCAAGATCCTGAGAGGAGAATGGAGGAGGAGGAATTGCGGCATGGCCATCCCTCCTGGGGGGTGATTTCTCACTTTCTGTCTGTCTGTCTTTCTGCTCCTGTCTGGCGAGTGCACGTGCCCTATAGCAAAACAACAACAACAACAACAACAAAACAACAAAACAAAACAAAACAAAACAAAACAAAACTCTCCAAACAAAGAAAATTTAGTAATTCTCTTAATTTTCTTATTCCATCAGTACTAGTAATATTCAAAAATATAAACTCCATTTCTTTCCTAGTCATGTTCAATTCACTACAAATATGTAACATTTTTAGATAAGATTCCATTATCTTCATTTGTTATAAAGTCATTTGAAAAATTACAATGATCTTCACAACAAAAGGACCTATGGAAGTACGAGTGCATGCTGAGTATCAATGTTTTGCTTAATGACAGTAATTCTATAGGATTTTGATAGGTTATAACATATGCTTAGGTTTGTTATAGGCTATACCATCTAGGTTTGTATAAACACACTATGATGTTTGCACACTACAAAATCACCTAATGACACATTTCTCAGAAGAACTCCTTGTTATTAAGCAATGAGTAACTCATAGACTTCTTTTTTCTCTAGAACATAAAATAGTCTATGATCTGAATGGTTTATGAAATTTTAAATTTTCATCTTTGTCCACACTTCAGTGCCACTGAAAGAGAAGCCTGCCTTAACTTAGAGTTTCCCAGAATCAGGATAAATGAGTGAGCTGAGGGATACATCATTCCAAGAGTCTGGCTAAGCATGTTAGCCAGTTCATTCCGATGCATCTGAGAAATCCATGACATGAGGAGAGACAGGAAGAAACTAGCAAAGAGTAGGAGGAATGAGATCACAGTTTTCAAGGCATTTACGTGAGCCTTTGTCCTGAAGTCTCTGTGTTCTTCTGAGTAGAGTTGCATCTTTTGCAGATGTTTCCACAGTGAAAAAATTAACAGGAGAAAAGAGATGAGGGCTACACTAAATGGAATCAGGCTGAACATAGTCATAGTGAACAAGACCAAACTTGAAAATAATGCAAAGTCACTCCTTTCAGAATTCCATGTTGTGTTTCGTTCATATTGATGCTTCCAGACTCTAATATGAATGTTTAATTCTATCATATTTAAAAACAAGAAGACCAAACTTCCTAGTAGTATCATCAAAATTATTTTTTTTACTCTCTGCTTCAGATAGAGGAAAATAGGATTAGCAAAACTGGCTATTTTGAGCAAATAAAAGATGCTGAGCATTGTAGCAAGCCATAGACTGAAATGATTGACAATGGCCCAGGTAAAAATAGCAATTCTTAATTCTTCTCCAGGTGTAAATAAATTTAAATAATGCAGATATCCAAACCAACTTACTATTATTTCCCAGATCATCCCAATTCTGAAGATTGCCAAAGCAGTGAGGATTTGATCAGCCAGGGAGAGCTTTCTTTTCCTAGTCCAGTCAATGCAATTTGTCAGTACTATGAATCCATTGCTCAAATTCCCAAGTATGAGCCCTGCAACAATTAAAAGACTGAAAATGCTCTGCAAGGCACTTTCCATGTCTGCACAGAGAAAGTGCGAAGCCTAATATCACTGCTGACTTTGCTGATCTAAAATTCAATGTATATCCTTGAATGTTCAGTAAAGTTCTTCTTCCTCCTTCTGCTCCTTTGGCTCCTCCTGTTCCTTCTATAAATGTTGACCAATGGGCAACCTGTGCATTAAGAACTGAAGCCCACAGGATCTACTACAGTTGAAGTCCTACCCTGATAACTTGAAAAAAATGCCAGGTACATGTGTGTGTGTGGGTGTGTGTGTGTGCACGCACCAAAAAACCTGACGGAACAGAAATGGAGGAATAAGGATTGAAACATGACAATGCTCACCTCTCTCTCTCTCTTTACAGGGAGCACACATGCCCTTCGGCAATGACAAAAACAAAAAAAGTTTGCCCAATGTCAAGTTGGAAATCTCTAAGGTTTGCAAATCAATCTATATATAGCTCTTCTTAGGAAACATGCTTTCTGTAATTTATCTGCTGAGTCCTCACTTATTTCTTTTAGGTTTGACTCTAGTAAAAAGAATATAATATATGAAATAAAAATATGTAGAATTTATAAATGTATAAAATATATTCTATTGTTAGACAAAATATGTTACATAATAATATATATACATATTTACATAGTTGCTAATCTAGAATTTGAGTTTCTGCCTTTTAGTGACTAACTGGAATCATTCATTGATTTCCGATCACTTTAAGACTCATTTCTAATGCCCTACCTGTGCTTGTCAGTCAAAATTTATCTTTTCTTGTCTAATTCTCTGTATTTGGTTTTAAATGGATTAAACTGCTCATATTCATTTTCCTTAGATATTTATTTAGGATTTTATTCACTCTTCTTATTAAATAGCAAATTTACTAATATATATGTAACATGTTTCTTTGTCTAATTTTTGAATTAAATCATTGTCTCATTTCAAATCACACAAATTGCTTGTCATGTTTTAAAGTCCCTTTGTATCAGCCACCCTTTCACCATATACATTATACAAGTGGGAAGGTTTTTCTCTATGAACCAACTTTATTGAGGCATAACTTCTATACAACAAAATTTATAGATGTTGAGTGTGACATTGATGTTATGTAGAATTTTAACATTATTTTGTTTTAAACTACAAAACAGTAAATTTATTACATTTATACTCAACCAATACTTACAAATTTTCAGCATATTTAGTATTGCATTTGCTGTGCATCACTCCTTCCATTTTAATCATTTACTCTTTTTTAAAAAAAGAATTATTTACTTAATTTTTTCATTCCTTCATTTTAATTTGACCAGAGAGAGACACAGAGAGAGAGAGAGAGAGGAAAGTGAGAAA